GTCTCGCTCCTTCTGATGCAGAGACACATGTACACACCTGTTTGGTCACGACACACAGCAACCTACATTCGGTTTGTCGAATAAAAATTAACGTAATCGATGAAATTCTTAATGATCAATTATCGATTAATTGACTAATCATGCCCATCTCTAATCTTTAGGCAAGGCACTTCACCCACATTGCCTAGTATGAAAGTGGTGTGCGTGAGTGATGATGGGGTCAAAGATGGTGCAGATTTGGAGCCTTGCTTTTGTCAGTCTGTCCCAGGGCAGCTGTGGCTACAATAGGAACTTATCACTAGCCCAGCACTCCCGCAGGAGGCCCGTGGGACCCGATGCAAAACGTGTCCCGGCGCAGGACACATTTTGAAAGCTCATTTCAGGAGCAGACGGGTGAGATGATAAACTACAGTCTCACAAACTAAATCTGAGTGTAAAGTAAAATATACAAATGATTCAAGTTTGCCAGTCATACATCATTTGTGCTGGATATCTGATTTGGCATTAATAAAAACATTTTAACCAGCCTAAACTTGAGGATATGATCTAATCTCGTGCACATTTTAAACAATTCCTTTCCGCTTCTCTGTGTTTGATAGAGCTTAAGAAAGTGAACGTCCCCAACTTGGTGGATTTGTGGGAGGGAGCAGGACAAAATATCGCAGATGTGGACAAAAAAGGGAATGAATATCACAATTCTTTGCAGGTGGAGGCAGGAGACCTCTGCTTATCACCACAGAGTGTGTGAGCGAGTGACTGAATAATGCACCAAACTGTAAAGCATCTTTGAACATCTGGAAAAGCACTGTGTAAGCCTACTACTGCTACTACTACTACTGCTACTGCTACTGCTACTGCTACTGCTACTGCTGCTACTGCTACTGCTACTGCTGCTACTACTGCTACTACTACTACTGCTACTGCTACTGCTACTGCTACTGCTACTGCTACTGCTACTGCTACTGCTACTGCTACTGCTACTGCTACTGCTACTGCTACTACTGCTACTGCTACTACTACTGCTACTACTACTACTACTACTACTACTACTACTACTACTACTACTACTACTACTACTACTACTACTACTACTACTATTACTACTACTATTACTATTACTATTACTACTACTATTACTCCTCCTCCTCCTCCTCATAATATTACTACACAAATTTATAGACCAAAATGAGATATCGACTGAACCGATATCTTGGGGCCGATATCCAATCAATCAAAATTTTATTCATATTCGATACCAGTATCATATGGTTACATCCCTATTGTTCATTGCAGTATATTTTTTGAGCAATATATGAAGCTTCAAAATGTGAAACCATGACAGCCTGGTGTATATAAATATGTAAAATGTTTGTTACTGTTTTTAGCCTCATTTAAAGTGCTTCACTCCCCCACACAGTCGCTGCAGAGGCTGTGGTGTGAGGACCGCATTGGCCCATTAGCCCACACAGCGTTAGCCCGGGAGCTCTGAGCACATTTAGGCTTTAATGATCCTGTTAAAGCCGCAGCATCTGTCCTGACCACAGACAGGAGCCTCTGCACTGACAGGAGCGCTTTAATGAGCACCTGCCACCTCTGCTGCAGGTGCGTCCTGACAGGAGACACCTGCAGTGAGCATCAGTGCACAGGCTCATTATAGGCCTGGGCAATATGTTAAAAGGCCCATATATATATATATATATAAAACACAATTATTTTTCCTATTTTTCCTGAAGTTGTGTTTTGTTTCATTCACAAGTTTAACACACAAAGCCTGCAAGAAGCAGGGAGCAGAAAACACTCTGCTCCACCTTGTGATGTCATGTGATAATAAAGAAAGTGCTCCACTGTGTTTTTAAACTCCACACATCTTCATGGGAATCATTTGGATAATCAGATCTGGAATCGACCATCTTTACTCAACTAAGGGGAAAAGGAGATGTTAACATGAAAACCACCAAGACATGACATCACAAGGTGGAAGAACAGACTAATAATACAGAGTTACTCAAACATGTGAATGAAACAAAACAAGTACATTTTGTGTAAAACAGGTCCTTTAAACACGTATTTGAAACATAATTAAACTACAAGAAATGATAAAATAATGTCATAAAATATTCTAGAATCATATGCAGCCAGAGACTCTTTCTCTTTCAGCCACTACTACCTCTGGTTCAAATCAGCTGAGTTCAGGAAACATAAAAGACCCATTTGGCTACTACTTTTTATATCACCTTCATTAGATGCAGTAAATTCCAAGACTAACCAACGTTTGCGATTTCCTCCTTTCACACAAACACCTGACTCATTGTTTAGTCAAAGAAAGAAAAAAAAATAAACTATTGTGTCTAAACGTAGGTTCAAATACGACTTCTGAGAACTTCCATTCGAATCCTTTTAGCATATGCATGAGCCAGAGGAACATGACCGCATTTGGAAATATTTACTGGAAATAACAGATCCAGACTCATAGCAGATAAAAAAACAGACCCAGCCACAAAATCACACGGCAAGTTATTAAAAGAAGCAAAACCTTCCACATGTTTGATTTAAAGGAACTGGATGTAAAATTTTGATATGAAATTCAAATCAAAGCTAATTTATTCTTAATGACAGAAACACTGAACATGATGGACCAGTTGTTTGTTATAATTTGGTGTTTTAGTTCCAATCAGACAGCAGAATGAGCCACACATGAGAATCTCATTTGGTGTGCCAGTTTCGATTCTAAAAGGTCTCACAACCTAAACCACAGCACCTGCAGCCAAGCATGAATCAGTGAGTGAGTACTGAGCTGGAGTTCTGAGAAATGATCTGTGTATTTTGCCTGAGCAGCCGGTCTCTTCTACATAGTCTCTATTCACGCTTACGTCACAAACCAGGAAGACATTTGGAAACATGCGATGAAAACTTCATTTGGGATCTGTTCGCGGTAATGAGTATGACACAGTCTAGGAAAAATGAGAAAATGTCCCAGGTTACTTGATCTCCATGTCATTGTAGTGTTCCTTTATGTTCAGCTAATCAACAATTCCAACCATACCTCAGTTTTCATCATTTTCCCACTGACACACAACTCTGAGTGCACTGGGTACATGTGATGAGAAGAGATGAGGTCAAATTCCAGATGATTCCAAACAGCACATACGTCTGCAGTCTTCATTTTACCACTGATCACATTTACCGTATTTTCCGGGCTATTAATCGCTCTGGATTATAAGGTGCACATCATCATGCGTCATTAAATGGTCTATTTTCAAGCTTTTTTCACAAATAAACCACACCGAACTTTAAAGGAAACCCAACAGTGTGATGGGTGAGTGGTTTTGTTTGTTTGTGGTGTTCACGGTGACTCTGGGCTTTGTTCAGTTGTGGCGTGTAGGGAGGGTGCTGTCTGGGACCAACGGATTGTCGGCGTGTTCACAGTGACTCAGTTGTTCAGTTGTGTCTAGAAGTGGCACATTGCACTCGCTTTTTCGGTTCGTTCCTCCGTCCCGTTCCTCGTCGGCGTGATGAGTGTGTCTGTGGGCATTTTTCGCTGCTCCGTGTGTGTTTGCGTGCGCTGCTGGTGGTGCACCTTTGTAGTTTACTGAAGTCGTGCTGCGAGTGGATTCATGTATAGGGTGCTCTTGGATTGCGGGGCACACGGTCGTTTTTTTGACAGTGTTGGGAGAGTTACTTTTAAAATGTTTTCCCCTACAGATTACAGATTACATACCCCAAAATGTAGTTTGTAACTGAATCCATTAAATTACTTGAAGTGAGTAACGTAATCTGAATACTTTGGATTAACTGATATTGTCATGATTTTTAAAACTACATGAATGTACCAACCACATCCTGAACATTCTTGTTTGTTCTCTTCAAAAGTCTCCATGAACAGACTTTTGTTTTACTGTAGAGAAGAAAAAACAAAGATGTTAAATCTGCTAAAAGACCAAAAAAGAAAGTCCAGTCTTTCCTTAACCAGATTAAAAACTATTATTGATAGAGAAATGATTTTTATATGAGGTCACTGCTGCTTTAAATTATGCCCACCCTACTGTTAGTGTCATATTGTTTAGACCTGGTTTAATCCTGGTTTAGACCTGGTTTAGACCTGGTTTAGCCCAAAATGTGAAAACAGTAAAATACCACCGTGTAATCCATTTATTTCAACAAAGTAACTGTAATCCAATTACCACCCACTGAAACAGTAACTGTAACTGAATACAGTTCCTCATAATTTGTACTCTGATTACGTAACTCCCGTACATGTAATCTGTTACTCCCCAACACTGTTTTTTGTTGGGGTTGGAGGCTTAAGGGCGCGACCTATAGCCCGGAAAATACGGTACTTCAGTGGGTTTGATCACAGCGATCACGGCGAGCCCAGTGTCGGGAACTACACTGGACGTTGCCATCGCATGTTTCCAAACGTCTTCCTGGTTTGTGACGTAAGCGTAAATGGAGCCTGTTCTGTTTGAATCTAGAAGGGAGCGGAGTTGGACCACAGAGCGTGAATGTCCGTCCAAACTTTTGACGGCCCAACCACACCCGCTCATTTGTATCACATGTCTCTCATATTCTTGCATCATTTGGAACATAATATCACTTTTTACCTGAGATAAATAAGAGTTTGGTGCTTCGATTGTTGAAATCTGTGCAGTTTCTGTTGTTTTTCCCTGTTTTACCCATGAGCTACCACGTTTATTTTGCCATGAAAGGACCATTAGTTAATCCACCTGACAATCACACCCTCTGAATCCATGGAGACAGATTATGGCTCCAGATCCACTCATCTTTGTAAAGCTTTGTCAGAGCGTACAGTTATGGCTGGTCAGGTAATGTCCACATAACGAGAAAGAGGACACATCCAAACTTTCTCTATCTGCAGGTTAAGGCACTGGTAACTCAGGTTCTGTTCTGATCGTAGTAACTTTTCAGTCAAACAGTCAAAGAGCAGTCTACATACACTTCCTTTAAATAACCCAGCAGTATTTTGACTCTAGTCTCCTTACCTGCATGTGCTCCGTGCTGCTGCTGCTCAGCTCGTCTCCAGACTCGGAGTCGTGGCGTAGGGCGTGAGGGGACGGGGCACAGGGCGACGCCGCCTGGTCGCTGTCCGGGCTGCGGCTGTGGGCGGGGCCTCTGAGCGGGGGAGAGTCCGAGCGCGTCCTCTGCAGAGCATTCAGGTGGTGGTTGTTGTTATTGTGAAGAAGCACCAGCTCCGCCACCACTTTGCAATGCTGAGGACTGCCCAGGGGCTGGTGGGGCGGGTTGTTGGGTGGTTGGTTGCTGTGGGTCTGGTTGTTGGGGTTCTGGTTGGGGTCGCGGTGCAGGGCTGGAGGCGTGACCCGGTCGGACGAGGGCGAGGGCGTGGAGGAGGGGGGCGGCCGTCCGAAGCTGGTCATCTCGGGCTGGGGTCTGTTGAGGTTCTCGTCTGACGCTCTGCAGATCTCCAGCACGGAGGGTTTGGCTCTCACTGAGGGCTTGAGGGGGGGGAGCAGCGCCCGCCGCACTTCCCTAACGTATTGCGCCGGCACGTAGAAGGTCTTGGTGCCCTCATCCCGCCGCACCTGCCACCAGTCCTCGTTGGTTTTCTTGACGAGCAGGTAGCACTCCCCCTGCCGGATGGTGACGAGCTTATCCTTGGCTTTGTACTCGTAGTCGTACTCCACCTCGATGTACACCTGCCCCGGGGCCATGGGCGGTCCCTCCCGGTCGGCCATGTCTGCCCCCGACACAGAGCTTGACCTTTGACCCCGGCAGCTCAGTGGTGAGGGGTGGGGCTCCTCATGGCTGCACTGTGGAGAGAACACACACAGTTAGAGACAGGCCAAGAAGGCAGAGAGAAAAAGGCAGAATTAACTGTTAACATATTTAGATCACTGTGTTATGTTTTATTCTTTGGAAATTGAAAATGAAACTTCACCCAAAAACTACGTTGTCACTCCCCCTTCAGAGCACTAGCACAACACAACAATCAGAGTGCATCCCACTAATGAAACTACTGCACATTGAATCAGGTTTGTGAAGTCATTGTCAGATCAATCAATCATTGCATTTACATAGCACCTTTCAAGATCCCCAAAGCACATTACAGTTGATTATTCATTCATTCAACACTCAGTGGTGTAAACTACTACTGTAGCCACAGCTGCCCTGGGGCAGACTGACAGAAGCGAGGCTGCCTATCTGCGCCATCGGCCCCTCCGACCACCACCATCACTCACACACACACCACTTTCATACTAGGCAATGTGGGTGAAGTGCCTTGCCTAAGGACACAAAGACAGTTTTTTGCGACTGGCGCCCCCCTGTGGCACCTGAAATTCCCAGTGGTCTCCCATCCAAGTACTACCCAGGCCCGGCCCTGCTTATTGCATTGTGTACAATTTTGTATCATGTTTTTGTATATTTATGGAGAATTGTGGTGAGGAAGGATGGAGGACGTAGGCTTGTGGGAGGAGCATTGCACAGAATCTTACAGCTAATTATACATTAATTAAATTTAATTTAATTTAATTAAAAAGGGCCCAGGAGAGATCGCTAAATTATTCAAACATGCCTGGATGACATCTAAAAAATCATTTTTTGATGAAATGTATGTATTATTATGAATGTAATTAAATGGAATGTATGTAACCATAGCAACAGAATGTTACTGTGAGAAGTTCTTGTGATGTCATAAAGTACGCTTCTCCTGCTCGATGTATAAGTGTGACCAGAAATCACTCTTATCCAAATGTTAGACAGCTTTTAAGACAGCAAGACAGTCAACAAGACAGTCAACAAGACAGTCAACAAGACAGTCAACAAGACAGTCAACAAGACAGTCAACAAGACAGTCAACAAGACAGTCAACAAGACAGTCAACAAGACAGTCAACAAGACAGTCAACAAGACAGTCAACAAGACAGTCAACAAGACAGTCAACAAGACAGCCAGCTACTTCATATAGAGCCTTTTATTGACAATTAGCACAGTGTTCTACAGTGATCAGATGGCCAGCAAACCCGAGTTTAAGAGGAAGGAGCAAAACCCTGAGGCCCCTTTGCTGAATCGCAGAGAGCGAAGAAGGCAAGGGAGAGCCCAGCTCCAAGAGGCAGGCCAGACTTATCACCAGGACAACCTTCTGGTTCTACCTGAGGCCCCTGAGGCCCAGAAACAGGAGGAGAACCAAGCCTCCCAGGTAGATCTGTTACAGCAGATCCAAATGCTGAAAGCACAGCTAAGGCTGGAGCAGGAGGAAAGAGAGAAAGAGAAAGCTCTCCACGAACGCAGTCGTGTGTATGCGGAAAATCTCCAGAAACAAATACAACGACTGAAAAAGGAGAAGGCCAGTGCTTTCAGCAAACAAAAGGAGGAAGCTAGAATGGAGTTGCAGGAGGAGATCAAGAGACAGGCCAATGCCAACTCTTTCCTCAGAGGACAACTTGAACAAGTTAACCGTAAAGCTGAGGGGAAAGCTCAATATCTCCTAGATAATATTGCCAGGAAGGACGAGCAGGAGAAAGATCTAAGAGCCCAGATCACCGCCCTCACTCAAGAACTGGAGAAGGAGCAGGTGGAGAAACAGAACCTGGTGCATCTGGTGGCTGAACTGAAGTCCTCCCTGAACGAGAAGAAACAGGCCCCTGCCACAGCTGAGAGCAGAGCAGACGTTCTGGAAACATTCTGGAAAGAGAAGGAAGAGCTGATGGCAGAAGTGTCTGTATTAAGACGTGCCCTGACACAGGAGCAGAGAGCCAGTAAAAAGGCTCTGTGCCAACTGGAGCTACAGCAGTCAGTCAACAACGTCCTGACCATGGACGGGTCTACTCTCAAATTTGCCCTGGCAGAGAAACAGAGCTCTGTCAGAGAGCTCCAGGACCAACTGGAGGCGGTGGAGAGGAACAATCAGCTGCTGACCACAGAAGTGACCGGCCTGAGATCTGCCCTTATAGAGGAGCAGAAAAACCACCAACAGGTCCAGGCCAAACTTCAAACCCTGCAGGATGAGAAGAGGGGCCTGGAGTCTACTGTGGCCGCGCTGAGGTCCACTCTCACTGAAGAAAGACACTCTATTGGGGTATTGCGCTCCGGAGACAAAGATCAAATCATCACAGAGCAGAAGGCAAAGGCACACGCCCTAAACCAGAGTCTCCAAACAGAGAGAGTCACGTTTAAGGCAGTGATCGAGCAGTGCCATGCTGCTTATGCCTCTGTTCTGAGACAAAAAGACCAGCTGATACAGCAAGTGCGGGACACACACCAGGAGATGGAGAAACTGAGGGTTCAGCACAGATCTGAGCTGAGTGCTCTACAGGGCAGTGAGGAGCAAAAGAGAAACACCCTGCAAGAGAAAATCCAGGAGCTTTCAGCAGCTCTGACCTCCTCAGAGGAGATGAACTCGGCTCTGAAGAGACAGAACCAGGTGCTCCTGGACATCATGGAAACCAAGGAGGAGGAGGCGAAAGAGACCATCAGCCGACTGAAGAGGAGGAGGTGGTTCTCCTGTTTTACATAAACCACCTGTGCTTTATGTGCTAATTAATATCAATAAAAATATGACAGCACGATTATTTGGTGTGACAGCACGATTATTTGCCTTTCTTGTAAATGCACATTCAGATAATACTAAAGAACAACACATTTTCATCGATAATACATTTGTACATCTCCTTCAGTGACACAACTGTACTAACTGCAGCACTGATTCAACCACTGACACACACTTTGACCCTCTGATAGTCTAACAGAGATTTAAGAATACACAGAGAACGAGTCACAAGAGTGGCCATTATAATTAAGGAAGAAATGTTACATGTTTGTAGCAGTAACATCTCCATGGAGACAAGTATGTGGCAGACCCTCCACCAGAAAAGTTGCACAGTGCATCTTTAAGTCACAGTGCAGAAAAAAAAGTCCCACTAGTACAAAGAAAAGGTACACATGATAAATAGGAACAATAAGCTGATGTAGTATTTATCGTGACAGGCCTATTCTCAATCTCTGGAGAAGGAGTACAATACAAAGCTGTATTTTGTGATACAGCTCACCCACTGTAATTGTAAAACATTTAATTGACCAGAAGGACTGTGAAATGCTGTATGGCACTTTGGGATGAGAGCTGATTGACCAGTGTCGGAGGTCGACATTTGAAAAAGCTGAAATAAAGTTATGAATTTTTGGGCACATTCACAACTATGAAAACTGAGATGGATTTGTTAGCTGCTGAAGCCATCACCTGTTATTTTCCATATTTTTTGCTGTTGCTTTTATACAGTTGTTTACAGGGCCCCTGCTAATCATAGACATATCACAGTTCGGTCAGGCTGAGTGGCCCAAATTATGATCTATACAATAATGTCTGTATGAGCTTTTAATTAAAACTCGCTGCACAAAGCATCTTCAAAATAATCGTTTTATGAAGGCACGATACAATTTAAACTTGATTATGACTTCACCATAGAAAAATAAACCAGGCCAGTATAATGACACTTAATGGTCACCACACTTAAACTGTGACCCCAATCCACAGGCCCAACCCGCTCCCGCCCTGACGAAACCAACCACTAAGTGCCCAATCTGACCCACACGATGAGGCGGTAGGGCTTTAAAGTGCCTCCAGGTGAGCCTCACATGCAGCTCTGGGGTAAATGATCCTGGTGTAAGTGTATACACGAGGGTAACCCGACCAGGCCAACAACAGACAACATGACCCAGCACGCTGCACTCATCCTGGATGCAGCACCTCCACAGGGCCTACACTTCCACTGGAAAAAACAACACTATCTACAAGAGCTTAGCATGTGGAATGTGGGATTATGAACACATTTAAACACTGTAAACATGAACAAGGGGTTAGTCCGTCCTCCTAGGTATTCCTTTGCAAGACAGGGACAGATATTTTACACACATGTAAGGACATGTATATAATATATATGAAAGTACTATAATTTAATGTTTCAAACTGCATTGTATTGTCTAAATACAGAGTGTTTTATTGTCATCATGGTATCATGATCGGTACTGTATATCGAGTCGATTCCTTCTTATTGAAATCCTGTTTGAAATGTTAGTATAGTGGCAACACTTCTAATGAGCAAGATCCAGGGACAGATGTAGCAGAGGTCCTCAGGTGATGCAGTCCTTCACACAGATTGTCCTGGTCTTAGTAGTTCCAGGATGTGTCAAATGGAGAGAGCTGTTTCACCTGCAGTAATAATAAAGCTCAGTTTAAAATAACAGCAGCTTCAGCCTCTACAATTGAAACTATTCAGGGAGCAATTGAGGATGAAAATGTAGAGAATAAGAAGCAAGTCAATATTGTGAAGAACTTCAAATAATGAAATCAAAGTAATTCACTTGTAGAGGCAGCTCTTGAGACGTTGGCAGTGTGTTAGCTATTCAAAGCCTTTCAAAAGTCCACATACACCACCAGCTGATCCATCACATTTGTGACAAACCATCTGCACAACTTTTATTCTACTTCTTAACCCAGTGCTCTGCTCCTGCTCAGTACTATCAATGATACACATGTGCGGTTATGTGGCTGTTTCAGAGGCTACGGGCCTGTGTGTTACACAGGTTATAGGCCTATGGGTTCCATGGGCTGTGGGGCTATTGTCAGGCTTCCTCTGTGTGGGCCTTTACAAAGGCGCGCTTGTGAATGGGACAGAGGAGAGCTGTGACCTGCTGTGTCACATGACTGTGGTCACATGACTGTGGAGGAGGTGAGGACAGGAGCTCACGGAACATGAGCTGCTTTTACAGGTACAGTAAGGCCGCTTTAAAGAAATCAAAGATCAGTGGTCTCTCC